TGGACTGATTGAGGCCGAGGGCCATACGTGAGGATATGTTGAGTGATGTGAGGAGGCTTTCAGGCCTCGAGTGTTATATGAGGAGGCTTTCAGGCCTCGTGTGTGATGTGTGAAGGCTTTTAGGCTTATTGATATTGCGCTTGAGCTGTAGGAGCCCCTCCGGAGGCTGTACACCCCCCAGTGAGCGCAGGGTACCCAGGTGAGTTGGGAGTGGGCCCGAGAGGCCGTTGCTTGTGTGTGGTGAGTTGGGAGTGAGCCCGAGGGGCTGATACTATACTGAGATTTATATATTGAGCCCGAGGGGCAAGCTTTTGATTTATCCCTACTTTGGAAATTGTTTGTCTTTACTGTTTTAAAAGAAGAATTATTTGATACTCATTATTTTACTGTATAACTGATTTTACTGCTTGGGATAGCGCTATATTGTGCCGTTATGAGATTTCATGTTTTCAGTCGTTATTTATTTTTATTACTCACTGGGTCGGAGTACTCACATTACTCCCTGCACCATGTCTTGAGATACAAGCAGAGCTGAGTTCGCTCCTAAGCGTTGATTCTTTCCAGACCAGGCGGTGACTAGGAGTAACGAGGTAGCGGTTGATGTCCGCAACCCCGTTTTCTCCCTTATCTTTGTTATTTATGATAATTCCAGACTTTGTAAAATATTAGTAAACTCTGTAGTAGCTCATGACTTGTGACACCCCGATTTCGGGCTGAGTTGGGAGGGTTTTCCTTGTTCTATCACGTTTATTTCGCATTTAAGATTATATTGCCCATGATTTAGACTTATTCCTGCTAAGTAATTATAAAGAGATGTACTGTTTTGTTGATTAGCTGGCCTTGTCCTCACGAGAGGCGTCATCACGACCGGATTGGGATTTTGGGTCGTGACAAAGCCCCACGGTGGGCACCAAACTGTTTACCCGTAAAATGGTACAGTTGAATTTATACGTGGTTTATATACAATTGAATCGATTTGATCCTAAAATAATAAATAAATTAGACAAAAATATAAGACTTGGCGTTAAAATCGAGATAAGACAATAGAGATCTTGAGCCCGGGAACAAAGCTTCCGAAGGCAATAAGAGCAATGCAAATAAGTAAGAAAGTAAATTGTTATTGAGTTTTAAACCGAGTATATTGTATGCTTGTCAAAAAATTCGTGTCTGTTACAATGATGGTAAAACTCTCTATTTATAGTTGTACCTAGGGAACAAGGTCCTAAGGTCAAGCCCCTCTTAAATGACCATTATGAGGGCCATTGAAGAATATGTAACGATAGTCAGTAAATGTCATATTCTCTATAACGGATCGTGCACTTAATACTATAGAATATTCTTCATTGAATGCTACCGGACAACGATCATTTATTTCGCCTTTATGAATATCATTTTTTCCGATAACAAACGAGATTGTTGCCTTCAATCCTTACTGCCTTCTATCTTCAGCTCCACGTGTTGCTTTCTCGCATGATCATTTAATATGAACATATTTTATCCTGTACAGTGATTTATTTATATATTTTTTATATATTTAATTTTTTTAATTCAAAGTAAAAAGAATAAATAATTATTAACTAGCCTAACTAATTTTATCTTAAAATTTGACACTTGTTGGCACTTGGCATTTAACATATTGATTGTGAAATATTGATTGTGAAACTTGACATCATCACGTTAATTTGCTTATCCTGTTCTATATAGATAGAAGATTACCTAGAACAGAAGGATTTGTTACTGTAATATATTGTACTCTCGATCTTTTATACGTATATCAAACCACGTTTTCCTTTCTTTTTATTATTTGTATATTCTTTTTTTTTTATCGTTGCAATAGAGGCGTGCAGAGCAATACTGAATTGACAGGGATGAAACTTCTTTGATTAATTTCTCGATTTGCTGAGAAGAAAAATCTCAAGTTTGTTTTTTTAAATATATTAAATTATATAACTTCTCCTTAAAATGACTAAATAAACTTTAACAGTTCGCTATTACTTCCATCGGTCCATAATAAGTGACCATTTTACTTCTGACATACCCATTAAGAAAATACGAACTCCTAGAAAATAAAATGTATTATCTAAATTATCCTTAATTAGATGTTACCTTGACACATTGAAGTATGTAAATAAGGGCAAATTTTGAAAAAAATAAAATTAATTCCTTTTTAATTATGTAAATAATTACTTATTTTGAATCAAAATAAAAAGGTAAAATGATCAATTAGTTAATAAAATATTTAAGTAAAATCAGGTGTCAGACTATTTTTCAATTCTGTAGTAAATGACATCTTGGATATTAAATCGAGGTGCATCACATGACTCGCATAGCACCTCAGTCCAAACACACACCCTAAGACTCAATAAATACGAAATTCCACTCTTGAATCCGGTAAAACACGCATTTAAGGGAAAAAGAAAATTTTACCCTGATTAAAGAAGTAAAAAGTAGTGTGGCTGCTGGGATTCGAGCCCAGGTCTCCACGGCCACAACGTGGAATTCTCACCACTAAACTACAGCCACTTTGTTGTCTAACTTATTCGTAATATAAATATCTACGAGAGTGCATTGATTAGGAAAAAAACAAAAAAATTTATCATCAGTTCCTCTCCTATAATGCTTATTCAAACTAAAATTGGAATTGGTTGTTAAATCCTGAAAAAACTGCCCTCGTGTAGTTACCAATACCGATTGCTGTAATCTAAAATTAAGATGTTTCATTTCCAAGACAAATTGTCAATTATTTTCCCCCTTTTATACTTTGTTGTTACTTCATCCCGTTCACTTTTATTTGCCCACTATTGACTTTGCATATTCCTTAATAAATAATAAATAAAGTGTATAATTTTTCATGATACGCATATTAATTAATGTATAATCTTAATGAATTTGGAAGATGATTTAGAACGAGTAATTAATTGCCAAGGGCAAAAAAAATAAATAAATTATTTTTCTCTTGAAATACGAAAAATGATAAGTAAAAATAAAAATTTATTTTTAAAATACTTGACAAGTAAAAGTGAATAGAGGTATTACTTCTTTTTGGTTTACTTTCTCCAATCGCAGACCAATTGCACGTGCCTCGCTTATCTCTTTTCCACTTACTCGCGCACGGTAACATGTACTATTAAATTACTAACTGTAAAACTGCGTAAACAAAAGAAATCTTTTTGCTGTTGATACTCATCTTTTACCATGAATTACAAGATTACATCAAGCGTAATGTCTCATTTTTCATGTGATCAACCACATTACTATTAAAGCGTCAAACAAACATGGTGTAACTTAGTGGTGGCAAAATAGATGAAAAAAAAACAGTTATCACCCGATCATCCATTAAAAATGGGTTGAATAATGAACTTTTTAAAAATAGTCAAATATGGATAGGAATCATATTATCCACTTAGAAAATGGATAACCAATGAGTTTAACTTTTACATTTGTAAAGTCTCAAATTGGGAGTTTTCTTATGTCTTGGGAAACTAGAATTTCTCCCAAAAGTAATCATATTCAAGAAGCCATAGATAATATGGATAACCATATTATCCGCCGGATAAGCCTTTTTTTATCTGTATTAAATATGAATCGGGTCGGATCCCCTTATTTGTTTTTGCATTACCCGTTTTCGACTCATCCAATATCCGGCCTGACCCGCCTCTTTGAGACCCATAGTGCAACTCGTGTTTTTCAGCTAAAGTTTGGAGTACTCCTCGTCAGTTCCCCCATAGTATGACAGTTCCAAACGTACAATTTTTAGATTTGATACTCAAATAATGTCATGTTCCACTGCATCAAATTTACACGTTGATTACTCATATGAATGATCCTTGTGAAAGCCACCAGCTGATAATGAGTTAAAGCTGAAAAAAGGTTAGAGCCACAACACATACCTCATACATTTCTGATGTCTACTAGTACAGTTCCAAATTCCTTAAGAGAAAACAAGTATGCATGCATACTGTGTATTACATCTTTTTTGAAGTACCAAAAATGGGAAAAGAAGTCCACAGTTAATTGAACGAAAGATCATAGAACTTCTGTTGCTTAGTGAGGTGGCAATTTAACATGCAAAGATTTGAGGAAGGCTTGTCAAAATCTTGCTCCATTGCATATGCCATTTTCATATGCAAGGTTGTAATGCAATAACAGCAAGGTTGCCTTCCATCTGGAATTCCGAAAAAAGAAATCCCATTCATGCCTCAGTTTAATTACATCTTTCTCCGAGCAGCATCGAAGTTGCAGAGAGCTATTTCACTTCACTTATTCCGATGGTCACAAGTTACTTCGTGATAGATTTCCTTATGAAGGACCTGAAGCTCTAGTTTCAGTCATCTCCAACGATGGCGGCTTCTGTTTAGTCTTCAAGAAGGTTCTTGCATAAAGGGATCCAAAGACGATAACCTGATAAAAAGAAATCAAACTAACATATTTTTTTCTTTTTTAAGTAAAGAAGTTTCAGCTTACAAAACCAATAGAGTGAAGTTGATGCTTACAGCTCCAATGCATTGCTCCCAGCTCAAAGGATGGCCAAACCACAAGCATGACAGCAAAATGCTCACCAACTACACAAATTTAATAAGACATCACATTTTAGTTTTGTGCACATGGCCAGTTTAGAAGGAAGAAGATCAAATTTTCAAACTCTTATAGTATTTCTTAATACCTGTCTTGTGGTCATTATGGTTGCAAATGTTAGAGCACCAAATGTGCGGATCGTATAAGAAATAAAAAATTGACTTGCAGTTGCTACCTGCAACCAAAACAACAATCAGTTTAGTCCTCCCATTTTTCCACTCCGAAAGTAAAGATAATTGGCTTCATGATATTATGCATCTTTTAGTGACAGTAAGAGTTGGCAGCACAAATACTTGTGAAACCAGGATAGTTGTTTAAATAAATCAACTTCTACTTGGACAACTTACAGTTGAAAGCAGAGCAATATCGAAGAAACAGTCATGATGGCGGGATACAAAATCTATTGCCATTAGAAGATTGCCTTGTAAAATTAGACCTACATGGAGACAGAGAGCAGAATCCAGTTAATATTAGTCATGATGAACATAACCTAGATAAACATCAGTAGTAGTATCAAGCGTGCATCAAGAGAACTTCATTAACAAATAACAATATGTATTTCGACCAGTAGTACCTGCAGTACAAACTAATTATAGCAAAATACCACAAGCAGGGACGTAATTTGATATAATCAGTAGCCTCAACTGTCTGCAGATGTCTCTGCTAGAGTTTAATCCTCAATCATGTAAACAAAAGTGCATAATATTTCCTCTACATCAAATATGTTTTGAAATTATCGTGGAAACTTAATTGGGTGCAAATGGTATCAGTACTCAAAATCTTATAATAAGTTAACTATTTCAAAGTCAAAAGTAAACTGAATCTTGGAATCTATCAGCGTGTTTGAGAAATTTTTGATGACAACTTAAAGAATTATTATTCTGTGACAGTCTTATGTAAAACACAACCACAATGAGGCACCTAAAAATAATAGTCACACCCTTCCCTCCATGGTGCACATGAAAAACATACAGGCAGGTATAGACTGAAGAACTGGATATTATCATGCTCAGCAAGAAGACATTGGAAACAACTGAATGGTCCAGCATATTATCTTCTGGAAATGTAAAGTGAATTTCTCAAATGTCCACCAAATACAAACTTAATAGTTGCAAAGGTATGTCACTGAATTCCAATAAACGGGATCTTACCGATGAAACTAAGAAGACAAGAACAGACCGTTGTATAGAATATTTGATTGTGTATTTCCATATCATAGCCTTTAAAAAGTTTATCCTGGAAAGTACTCGTAAAGCCATCAAACCTGTAAGATCAGATGACTGATAAAGCTTGTGAACATCCTAGAAAAAAATATCCAGATACTAACAAACAAACATTCGATTTCCCAGGGGAATAACAACGTGGTGTTGCTCTCAACGACAATCCAAAAAGAAAATAATTAAAAAAACAAAATAAAAAAGGTAACAACAATATGTCCCGTGCAAACATCAGGAGCAAATTGGCAGCGATGCTCTTTCAAGAAATTGTCTTCCATTCAAATATTAGATGTCCCCAAAAGAGGTTATAGAAACAAAACTGAAGAATGAGAAAGTGGCAAGAAGTATATTTGGTATCTAATGTTAAAAGTTTGTACATGTGTGTATTGGCGAGTATTTAATATACCTGACATGCAGAAACTATGATATATGAATCTTTATTTTATTTTCCACTTAACATCAAAATCTTTCATACCAGCACCAGGTAATCCTTCTTGGTTTTGCACTGGGTGGAGCAAGAGGTGGAGAACCACCATATGAACCTTTCCATTTCACTCAAGTTCATCACAGTTCTTCAGTTGACCAAATAATCCTTCTTGGTTCTGCACTTGGGTGGGCAAGAGGTGGAGAACCATGATATGAACTTTCCATTTCACTCAAGTCTTTTCACAATTCTTCAGTTGACCAATTAATTAGGCTGTGAGGTTGGGCCACAGCATCAGAAGAGAAGAATGTTATCCTACTGGGCGCACAGCAGGGGGGATGCAATGAGTTTGAGAATTCGCAATAGGCGAATATGATACCAAATGCACTTTGTAAACCACCAAAGCTAACAAATGCTGATGCAAACACCGTGACATAGGTATTTAATAGTTCAGTAATTTTGTCAATGCACGTTGAACTGAGTTATATTGCTGGATTGGGGATCAACTTGGCAGTTAAGATCATGAAGTGGTATGTCTTCGAAAAGGACAATCTTTTCTGGCGATCTTACAGGACAAGTGAGATATACAGCGAGTCAAGGAAAAGAGAAGCTACAGTATGTAACACTTCAATGCTCAAATATCAATCAATTGCACGCTATGAGATTGAATGCCAATTGTCTAGAAGCTCAGATACTCAATTTTCTCAAGAAGCAAGTCTTGACTTTTAGCAAATCCAGTTTCTTAACTTAGCATTTCATTAATCCAATGACTGATGGTTTAGAATGCTGGAAGATGATGTGAGTTATAATGCATACCCAAGATAGCCTATCATCAGAGAAACTCCCCAGACTGTGCTTTCTCTTCCTCTATTGAAGGGACTGATGTCACCTGCTGCCTAAAACCAAACACAAAATAGCAAAAGCATTAACCAGTGGAGGTAATCTCAGAAGCTAATGCAAGTTCAGAACTTAGCAGACCAACACAAGCATGGCTATCAGAAACAAAAAGGTTTTAAGTATACTTTTACCGGGAAGATGGATTAACCAGTTCACGAGTACACCATTTAAGAATTCTACAAGCTAGAGTGTCTTTTAACAAAATTCATCCAGTCATCTCTACAAGTTGGCGTATAGCGCTCCAAAAATATACAAAAACATGAATCTCTTTAGTGAGCATCTATTCATTTCGGAGAATCAGTAAAAACTATGGAAACCTGTAATATCAAAGAGGCTAAGAAGTTTTGATAGGATTCTTGGGCAAACTCTTTGGTGGTGAAAACTCAGTCACTTATGCAAGACTCAACCATTAGCATGTTTCCTTCAGTCTCATTTGGGAAGCCACAAAACAAAGCTCTTGAGACTTTCAATTTCGACGACCCTTAGGCTCAATCAAAAGCGGAAGATTGGGGCACCATGCTGATATTATCAACAGTAGGAACAATAAGTTTAGCTTCAGGAAAGCTTCACTTAGGGTTGGGGCCTTCTAGGTAATTTCATGATAAATAGGAAAAAGAGATTCTATGCTCTGAAACTTGAATTTATCCATATTGTACATATCGAATCATTGGACTTTTCAACTGCTTCAGAGACTAGTTGAGTAGTGCAACGATAGTTTGGCTAAATGAAAACTTCGATACATTCTATTTGCCAACAACTCTGTCAACTTGAACCGTAGAAACCTTCATAGTATTTTCTCCATCTCAAAAAAATAGTATAAGCTCAGGGTGCGAAAACCCTTTGTGGAGAGTTAAGAGCTCCCTTTTATTTCGTTTATGCTTTTGGCATAACAAGTATATCACACTGTATAGATAATTGGATCTTGCAGAGCTTTTAAGTATATCCATAATTTGCAAGTGGCACCATCTTGATGAATTATCAACGACATTTTTTTACGTGCCCCCCCCCCCAAACCCCAACAACACACACACACCAAAAAAGAGAGAGAAAACTGTATGAAGAGTAAGTAGCAGGTAGATATATCAAAGGTGAGAGGTTTAACTGAACAAAAAAATATAACATGATCTTATGTGGACGACTGACTGATTTAACAGATGATGCTTTGAATCAGAATTCTCAAAGATAATAGAAGAAAGTTTCAGTAATTGATGAAAATCACACCATGTCTATGACATCAAATATGCATCAATTATACAAGATTTTTCTGGCCGGTAAACATCATTTATAAAAGTTTGACATGAACACAATATTCTGAAAATGATTCTTGACATAATTTGAGAAAGCAGCAATTCATCTAATACCCTACAAGCAATTCAAACAAGATACTTACCTGATACAGAATAAATAAGGAACAACCCAGGGTTACTAGGAATGCCACAAGATAGTCCTGTCCTTTGTACTTCTTTTGCATAATGATAGTACCCCAGATCTGCATCAACACAAAAGAAAAAGAGAAAAGGATATCAAGTAGAAAGCACGATTAAATAGTTAACGATATGTCTACAAGAACATTGTAAGAAAAATAACATCCCATTCTAAGATGTCTAATGTAAAATTATACCAACAGGCCTTTTCAGTATCTGGGCAAAAGAGATGGTTCTTGGTTAGGTGTATATGTCTAATGTGACATACAACTAAGCAAATACCAATACTTTTTGTGTTCCAATAAATTTTTAACCAGACAATTGGATTTCCATAAGAATGAGAAATTCTAGAAATAATAAATGCGACGGATTTTCAAAGTAGACTAATATGATATCATGGGTGTGATGAGTAGCTAGGCCTAACTCAATCACAAAAGCTATCTAATAAGGGGAAAATTGCCCAAAGGCTATATCTTCACATGGTATCAGAGCCAGATCCCTGTTATGGTGTTTCTCAATGTTAGCCCCCGTTTTTTTTTATAAGATAAATAATTTTATTAACAACTGGGGACTAACCCGTATACAAGCCGTATATCAAAAAAGAGAACCTACACCAAAATATAGTTCTCAACAAAAGAGATCCAATCCTCTATACATATAGGGACCTCATCAGTACACCAAAAAGAAACTAAGAACAAGAAACTACTTTGCAATTTCACAAAATCTTGTTCCACCCCTTCAAAAGCCCTCGTATTCTCTCTTTCCATATCACCCACATGATTGCTAAGGGAGCGACGCTCCATGCCCTTGGACTTCTCTTTCCACTCATGTGAACCCAACTATGCAACGACTCCTTCACTATACCCGGCATCGCCCATTGCACCCCAAACAAATTAAGGATCACTCTCCACAACCGATTAGCCACTTTACAATGCAATAGCAGATGATCTACATCTTTGCCCGAGCTTTTGCACATGAAGCACCAACTAACATGAGCCCCCGTGTTATGTTATCCATGCTCCAGTTCCATTCCTGGGCGTGTGGGAGAGTGTCAAGTCCCAAATTGGTTGAGGGAAGTATTTAACAATTCTCCCCTTATGAGCTAGCTTTCGGGGTTAAGTTAGGCCTCAGGGTCATATCTTCACACAAACAAAATGCCAAAGCTAAGCCTAGAAATAGCAATGCCACGACTCAAACACATTGCGATAGAGCTTTAATCATGCATATACTAGAGAAGTCCAGACCAAGAAAAATTGCATGCAGTAGTTATTAAGCAATTACAACAATCTATTCATCAAGTTAACTTACCATTACAGGTATCATCTTGGCACATTTTGCCAAGGTTTGAACAGGAAAACTGACGTATTTGAGAGCCTGAAGCAAGAATTCATCAAAATAACCAATGCTTAGTTATAATACATCGTGAGAAATCTTTTAAATGATGTAAGTCATTTTTCAGTTTCGTCTCTAGATGTTCTTGGTTTATGTCTTATATGCTACTACTTACCTCATACTGACAAGTAGTTGTAAGGATGTTAGAGACAGATACAACACAATATTTATAGAGTGGAGCTACTGGGTCCAAGGCCTTCTTACTTGCCTGAAAATTAAAATAAGAAACAAAGAAAGGAGTAAAATGTTATCTGTTCTTTCAAGATTCCCAGGAATAACAAGCAGATTAGAGAATGCGCAAAGAATATTTGCAGTATTATATAAGCCTTATGCTCTTAATACACAATAGAAACAGATGAACTAAGCTAGCAATGATTCTAGTACCAGTAAAACTCCGGCAGAGACTGCAGACGTGGTAATCCGATTGCAAAAAACCAGAAATAATGAGAATGTAAAATATTCTTTTTGCGGCCCGTAAGGAACTCTCATGATCTTTTCCTGCAGGTACACATTCCACCACCATGTTAAGATAAAAAATACATAATACTCTAAATTTATATAAGTTGGTGGTTAAGCAGGCATTTTTAACGATGAAGCTATGGAAAGAAGTTGCAAAAAGACGGAAAACGAACATATGATTAGNGGGGGGGTTCAAGGATTAGATCCTAGAGAAGTCATCATCAACAGTTGGATTTCCACAAGGTACAGTGAGTATCTAGTTAAACTATATACAAAAACATATGAACTGTTCTAACTGACGAGCAACTAAGAAGCAACAAAGTATTCTGAGAGATAAAATGGTCATTAGTCTTTATTACCCACTATATTGAACGAAAAAGACATACTATGAGCCATATGATAGCGTCTTTAATACTTCCGATAAAAAGGTCATTAGTCTTTACTCTTTAGTACCATACTGAACAGAAAATGCAAAACATGAGTCATATGATAGCGGCTTAATACTTAAAGTAGGGCTTTACCAAAATAGAACTCTTAATTAACTAATGGAAAATCCATAAATTCTTTGTTGATGAAAACATAAAGGAAAAATCCCTACACTGCTATCATATGCGAAGATAGTTTGACCTAACAGGGTTGGTAAAATTCATGATGCCAGTTATGGTATGGATTTAAGTATGGTTTGCTTCAACTTCAGAGAGAATAGTTGCACATGATAACTAATTTATTATAAGTAGATTGTAGAATATAATTGTTCAGTAGAAATGTGATTTACTGACTCTTTTTATGCATATTATCTGTAAGCTGCTTGAGGAGAAGAACCATTTTCACAAGATGTGGGCCCACCGAGTGATATTATCAATTAATCAACTACACCTTAATCCGAAACTAGTTGAGGTTGACTAGATGAGATTATCCAAGTCCAGAAGATTCAACATACTTAGACTATTCTTACACTAGACAACCTTCAAAAGAACACTTCTTTGCTTGGACCAGGCTATGCTGGAGTCCACCGAGTGAAGTGTAAACGACACTTTTTTAGACTGAGTCAGGTAAGCTCGTATATGAGCTGTATGCCAAGTTTTTTGTTGCCTGAGCCCTTAAAAGGACGTATGGATACAGCAAATATGTTGAACGCACATAGATTATGCATTAATTTACTATATAATCACTAAAATTCTAAGTATAAAAACTTCAGTTTTTCTTCTTTTACATACTTGTTTTCTAGCTGACTCAATCATGCTCTCATCACTGATTTTGCAAAGAAAAAATAATAATAACAGAGTGGGGTGGACACAATAAGGTGGCAGGGACATAACAGTGGCATCTCTATAAGGTGAATGCAGCATACAAGAGAACTGGCCTTGAAAACATATATGGAAAATCAAGATTCCCTATAAGGTAGCATGTTTTTCTTGGTTACTAGCAAAGGAGGCTGTTATGACACAAGACAATCTTATAAAGAGGGGGATTCAATTGTGCTCAAGATGTCACTTATGTGGAGAAGATGTTGAGTCAACCATCTATTTTTACATTGCAAGATAACTGACAAGTTATGGAAGATCTTTATCAATCTTAGGGGCATAGCTTGGACAATGCCTAGTAAGATTACTGAAGTTCTTTTCAGATGGGATGAAGCTAGAACTGGAGCAAGAGGCAGAGATAGATGGAGAACTGTCCCAACATGTATTTGGTGGACAATCTGGAAAAGAAAGGAATTCCAGATGTTTTGAGGATAGAAGAAACTCTGTGCAGAAGATCAAGCTTAATTGTGTTTTGCTTTTGGTGTAAACAGATCTACACAAAAGATACTGTTTCAATCCTAGATGTCCTAGAATCTTGTTAGGCCTGAGGACCAAGTTTTTTCTTTTGGCTACTCACTTGTAAATATGGTTTCAGTACAACCTATGTACTGATTTTATTATAATATATAATATGTTACCATCTCAAAAAAAAAAAAAAAGACAAACTTATGCTCTCTTATTCTCCACCTTTCTCCTTTTCCTCTAAGGAGGTCCTACATTGCAGCTGCTGGTTTAGTTCGCAAAACCCATAAAACCAGATGAAAGTTGATCTGACCATATCCAACACAGGTGACAGGTCTTATATCTACACCCGTGTCTTATCATGTCCAACACCAAACTGGCCATATTGAACCGGCATTGTTGATACTGAATGACACGAGAATCTCAAGCTAAAAGGAAGAGCCATGGCCTCAAGCTTCGCTCGGCAGTTCCATTTAGATACTCTATAGATTGGTTTGAAGAGAGAATAACTTTCCCTCAAAGAGTTTTTCCTGAAACGTCTTTGCATGTCTTGAGATGGTAATTTCAATTGCCCATAATCGGTAATCAAATAGCACTTACACTGTGAAATACTTTCTTCAAAACTATAAATAGCTGACACCATTAATACAATCCAAAAAAATGTATGCAGTCAGATGAAGAAAGTTCCTTTCTCTCTCTTTTAACCTTTTCTTGAGCCGAGGGTCTATCGGAAACAGCCTCTCTATTTCGTCAGGTAGGGGTAAGGTCTGCGTACACACTACCCTCCCCAAATCCCACTTGTGCGGTTATACTGAGTATGTTGTTGTTGTTGTAGTCAGATGAAGAAAGTGAATAGACAAATATGTATAGGTGATTGGAACATTCAAGTGTCTTAGAATTAACAAACCAAAGCACATTAGACAAGAAATTCCTATACTTCTATTAGCTTAAATACCATCTATGTTTTCTCTTTTTTTCTTTTTTTCCAAACTGCAAAAGAAACGTTCAAAAGCCTTTAACATTATCAAAATCAAAGACAGTTACTTTTCCTTTTTCTTTTAGGCAGCATGCAGTCACTAAAATCGTTCTTCCTATTTCCTAAACCCTTCAACTGTCATTTTATCTTCAACTGCCTTTTAGAGATTTATATGTCATTAGAAAATATAAAGAACTTCTAGTAAGTACTTTTTAACTTTTATTTTTATTTTGTGTAATATACGAGTTTATATGGACACTGCGACGTAGTTGTTATTGTACCTAACTAAGCAAGTACGCCAAGTAAGCACTTCTTTGAAGCTACACTCCAACAGAGATGTATAAAGCATACAAATTCTTGTTTATAACTGTACTAATAATGCTTCTATTAATCAATGAAACACACACACACACAATAAAAACACGCATTGCGAAGATCATGATGCAGCAGACCTGTAATATTCCATAAATGACGAGAGTAGACATGATTCCGGCCACCGCAAAAGTTCCTTTGGCTAGCTTGTTCTCCTTCAACGGTAACGACGGTGGCTCCGCCATGTCCCATCCAATGCCGCCACCAGCTCTATTTATCAGGGGAAAAAATTAACCTAATGAGTTTCCTCATCCGCGCGTATATATTAGTAATTAATCTATTATAACCGTTCGAAGCCAGAAATGAGAAATATGTAGCTCACCTTAGATGAAGAAACTTGCGAGTGTTCCCCGGAGTTCAAAACGGCAAGTCGCCGGAAAAATCAACTCCGATAAGGAGAGAGAAACGGAGTTTTTTCAGAGCAGCTCGAAGCTCGAAGAGAAGAGAGGGATTTAATATGAAGATCGTCAGAGTAATCGCCGGCGATGTTACGCTTTCCTCTTTTCGTGTTTCATTTTTTATTATTTTGGTACCTTTTTTTGCTGTAAAGTTCTGACAGTGTGAAGACACGTCAGATGAGTGGGACCCCGCTAATCGAGTGACGACGACAGTGACGAATTGTGTTGGTTCCCAAAACCTTAAAATAAAGAAACTTCTAATTCCAATCTGCCACAGTTGGAAAAAAAATTACTGGTAATTAATTAAAGCAATAATTTAATTTAAAACAAAAACAAGGAAACGATTATAGGATTTCTTTGATGTAATAATAATGGTGAGGAGTATGGACAAATACCAAGATTATCGCATATATATTATTTAGAAATTGTCCGCACATTATTTGTGATCGCTTCCGTAATCTCCAATTGATCATTTATTAGTTATTACCAATATTTTTTTTATAAAATAGGAAATTCTGGTGAATTCATAAATCACTTGTGTATTACCTAGCACTCGCTCATGTATTATTCATGATTGCCTAAGTGATCTTCGATTGATCGCTATTAATTATTACCATGATCATTTTTTATAAAGTAGGAGGTCCCGGGTAATTCATAGGTTGTTTATATATTACCTAGAAATTTTTCATATATTATTTATGATCGCCTAAGTAATCTCCCCGGTTGATCACTTATTAGTTATTATCGGGACCATTTCTTCAAAATGAGAATCCTGGTGAAAACATAGGTCGTCTATTTGTTACTTAGAAATCGCCCATGAATTATTTATAATTACTTACGTAATTTCCGATTCATCGCTTATTAATTAGTTAGTATTATTTTTCATTTACATAGATCGCTTATGTGCTATCCAAAAAGCGACCATGTATTATTTATGATCTCCTACGGAGAAAGGGGTGAACAATATATTACTATAAGAATTAAAGACATTATAAGCACATGATTAACCTTATTGTTTCGATTTCAAACCTTCTAATTGTTTGACCAACTTAATGCTTTTTGAGAAAGAATTTAGTTAAACATATTAAGACTTATCTCGATTTTAGGATCACGTTTTATATATAACAACAACAACCCAATAAAATCCCATAGGTGGGGTTTGGGGAGGGTAGTGTGTACGCAGACTTTACCCCTACCCCGAAGGGGTAGAGAGGCTGTTTTCGAAAGGTCCTCGGCTCACGTTTCATATAATATAGGCGATTATATCAATTCTTATGTGATTTTGTGAAGCATATATGAGTCTGAAGTTACTCGATTCTAAGTTCTAACTAGTAATAATTTGTACATTTCCAATGGAATTTTTTAAAAAATTACAAAATTTGAAATTCGGCCAATATGTTTGACCAAAAATATAGATCATAGTTCAACTAATTAGATTTAAATAAAGAAGAGTTAAGTTTAGCTAATAATAATATTCTAAAGACAAAGTTATCGATTTTATGACAAATAACTTGTATGTTTGTCCGGATGACATGAATGAAAGCAATAATGATAGTGTTCAATGATCCAAAAAGATAGAATATGACATTAAATAATAACAAGTAGCAATAAATGACATTTAAGTAAATAGAAGTGTGTGAGTCTCCCGAAAAAGGGGTGAGATTTGTATATATTCTCTCTGATAATGATGAATGATTGATAATCCTTTGAACACTTGGATCCAGTGGGAATGCTAGACAAGAATTTTAGTAAAAATGTTATTTTTGTATGCTTGTAACAAGACCAAATTCTCTCTATAAAGTCAATGTATGTTTATACAAATGAATATCTCCCCCACCCCCCCGATTATTGTGTCTTTTTCTATTTATAGAAAACATGTTCCTAGAAACCCTAACAAGATATATCCTGAGAATATTCTCTTTTGTGTCTTATCTTAATATTAGTTGTTATAACTCTGTCTGAGATGCTCGACCTTGACCTTGAACTATGATGATTTCACGACCTTGATCTTTGCTGAATCTTCAACCGCACCCTTCATCGCTTCGAGGCTACTTCAACCTGGGGTAGATCTTTGTGGATACCTTACTAATAGCACGTGGCAGCCGACGAAGGCTATCATGGTGCTGATGTGGCTTGCCCATATCAAAGATATTTTTTGGCCCATACAGTTAGTCCCTCCAATTATCGAGGTCGTCCCTATAGGAGAGGTCGATAAGTGGATAGTGACGTTTGTGGTTAAGCTTACCGAGCTTGCTATACAGGTCGTGTTCGTCGTAACGATTAGGCGACGTGGCTCTATGAGGGCCGCACACATTGAATTCTTTGAATTTCCTAGGAAGTCTATTAAATCCATCCGATCCAAGAGAAAGAGTGATATCATGATGTCATGCGTCATGATGACATCATTTCACGATGCGTTGCATCGATTCACGTGTGACCCTTGATTGGTTTTGGCATTTCGATCTCCGTGATAATCATGGCCTACTATTTTGATTATGGAGCCCCCAAGTCTTATAAATAGGGGGTGGTTTGTAGATTTTGAAACTTTTTCGCACGCATTCTCTTCCATAAGCAGAGCTTCTTCTTCTACTTCGCAGAACCCTTTTACCGCTCTATTGTTTTCTTTGCTTCTCTATCTCTTTCCACAATAATGTCGGACCTCCTATCAAAAATCCACATAGAAGATCACTCTATCCCTTTAGACGTTGTTTCCCTGACTAGGGGGAGGACATCGGAGCTACCGTTGATGAGGAAACCCTGCCTACTGTAGAGGAAATCGTACTCGTTATCCATATGCTAAACCCAACTTCCACAAGGCATCGAAAATGGTGACAGAGAAGTTTAAATCTATGATGACGGTTGAGCGGTTAACCAAACTCAAAGATAGACTTGGCCTACCTAGTCATGTGGACTTAGTCCCTGCGGGCGACGATAAGGCACAAGTTCATCATCCCGGCTTCTGCGCCCTTTACGCATATCTGTTCTTAATTGGATATTCGTTCTCTTTTCCGCCATTGATAGAAGAGTTATGCCGCTACTACAATGTATGCCCAACGCAACTCGCCCCTTATATCTTTAATATGTTCATGATATTGACGAAATTCGCTGAATTGGCCGACATTGACATAACAGTATGTCACCCGATCCATCTCTTCGCCCCTCATTTCTATCGAGGGACTTTGCTGAATCTTTGCCATCATGGGGGGAAATGTTTGGTGGTGAGGATGGATGACAAGGCTAGTCAGCATTTCTGGCTTGATTATTTCTTTGTCAAGACTGAGGTCATAGTGTCCGTCGCCGCAGGCTTCCCTAAGGCTTCGAACCCTACTCGTATCTGTTTACATTTTTTTTGTTTCCAATATTTTCCTTACTGTGGGTCGGTTAATCGACTTTCCCTTTTTTTGCAGCTACTACTCGACCTTTTTATATGGTGACCTATATTGCCAATTGGGTTAGACAGGCTCTTTCTCATACGGAGGGGAATACGTGATTGATTGAGTTTTTCTCAGAGATTTAGGCCATCCCTTCCCCCCGCAAGTAACTTGTTCCCCACCATCGACGTCGTGGTTTCTTCACCTATGTCTGTTATCTTTCTTGATTTTTCCTTTTCTCGTTTTTCTTTAGCTTCGGTTAGGGGATCTTCGAGGAGGTCGAGAGCTCCCACGCCCATGTTCTAGAAGAGGAGGGACAATACACCTTCAGTTTTTGCCCCCGCATCGACTACGGTCGATCCTGCCTTCATTCCAATTCCACCCATCGCCACTTCCGCCTCCGTTTCTGTTCCGGCTATTGAGACTTCTGTCCCTCTTTTATATTCACTAATTGACGAGGACGGTGAGCATTTTCCAAGTGACGTAGATCTTCAACCTCGAAAGAGGAGGTCTGTAGATGTGGGTGACAAAGTCACTCCGGCCGTTGATGCGACAGAAGAGGGTTTTTCATTGCATGAGATAGCGATGATTTTTGTGAGCGATGATGTTGAACTGAGTCTCGAGGCTCCGAGGCTGGTGAAAGTTGTTGTAGGCGTATCTCTTTATTCCGAGTAGATAGAGACCGAAGGGGGCCTGCTGACGTCCTTGACCTTTCGCAGCGAGAGGAGGCTTCAACCTCTCGGAAAACTGCGAACGCTTCTTTGCTTTCCGATGATAGGGGAAAAAGAATTAGTGATGAGGGCAACGAGTTAGGTTCCGACGTCGATGCGGACGACCTGAGAATGATTAAAGAGGGACTTACCCAACTTGAGGTATGGTTAGAGGGGTGTTCGAGGACTATCGTGATCCCTATGGATCGTGACTTGTTGCTAGACACTGAGGATGTAGTCCCTGCACTAAATCCTCTTTGTTCCTAAGTTGAGGGTAAGACCCTTAAGGAAATAAATGACGGTGCCCTATCGAGGAGCATTGTTGGCCTCGTTCTTAGGGTGAGTGTTTGTTATACAAACTTTTTCCTATTTTAGAGCATTCAAAGTTCTAACATTTTTCTCTTCTTTTTTGGTTTGCAGATGGTGATTTTAGAAATTGAGAGCGCCCGGAGGGAGAAAAGTCGTAAAGAGATCTTCGTGAAGCTGAAAGAGAAATAACTTGAGTATCGTGGCAAGTATCAGGATCTCCATAATCGGTTTTGCAAGGGCGACGCCCTGCGGGCCCTTAGGGAAGATCTGCAGAAGAGGGACGAAGAGTTGGTGCAATCCATAGAGAAGTACATCGTTCTTGAGGGGATGTTGAGAAGTAAGGAAGAGGAGCTTGAGGTTAGCAGGAGTGTAGAAACCCAATGCAGTGATCTTCAAGCTCATGTGGTCGAATTGCAAAGGCAACTTGAAGACTGTTGGTTTCAGTTTGAGGCCCTCAGCTGCGAGATTGCCTAGAAACAGGAGGAACTTGAAAGTGCGGAGTCCTCTTGTGCGAACGCTCGAAGGAAAGTGGAGATGTTCGAGTTGACGAATATGACTCACCAAGCCGAGTGGGAAATTGATCAATCGACAGCAAGAGTTAAGGAAGACCGGCTCGAGAAGAGAATCGGGGAGCTGAAGAAAGACAACTCCATCCTTCATGATCAAGTGACCGCCCTAGAGGCTGATAAGGCTAAACTACTTGCATGGCCATACTCTTCCAACACTTCTGATTTTCCCAACATACCT